TCGGTCCATGGGATGCCCCTGGTGAGGTAAAGCAGCGGCACTGGCCACCCTCTAGAGGTGACCCCACCCCATTCCTGGCCAGTTCCAGGCCTGAGATGGGGAGACAGCAAGTTTACCTCAGGCCTCACTTCATGTTGCAATTTTGTGCTCTATAACCTTCAGAGAAATGGGGTTCCTGTCCTCTGCTCGGCAAAGTGCCGGCTGGGACCTAGCCCACTAGTCACCCTTGATTACAGAGGCCTCATGTAGCTGCCAGCAGGCGTGGGTCAGCCCCCAATCACTTATTTGGTGCCTGTGCCATGTAGCTCAGACAGAGTAGCACAAGGGTTTTGTGTTTTTTAATTTAAAGATGATTAGTATTTTTTTTTTTTTTGATTTTCGAGACAGGGTTTCTCTGTAGTTTTTGGTGCCTGTCCTGGAACTAGCTCTTGTAGACCAGGCTGGCCTCGAACTCACAGAGATCCTCCTGCCTCTGCCTCCCGAGTGCTGGGATTAAGGGCGTGCGCCACCACCGCCCGGCTAAGATGATTAGTATTTTATGTGCATTGCTCGAGTTTATGTATGTACAACACATGGGTGTATGCACCTACAGAGGCGAGTTCCTGGGCTACAGGGGTTGTAAGCCTTCTGAGGTGAGTGTTGGGAATCAAACCTGGGTCCTCTGTAAGAGCAGGAAGTGCTTAACAGTTGGTCCATCTTTAGCCCCCAGCATCTTAACATGTTCACAGGCTCCCAGATGGAGCACTCCTGGGCTTGGGCAAGCTACATTCTGTAACCTCCTTGTGGTATTTATATCGGTGTTACTGACCTTGGCTATTCAAAAACAGATAGACTCCCCTCTCTGTTTAAAAGCCTCCCTTTTGCCTGTTGTGGTGGTGTACCCTTTAATCACAGAACCAGGGAAGTGGTGATCTCTGTGAGTTTGAGGTTAGCCTAGTCTACATGGTTCTAACTGTTCTGGAACCCACTGTGTGTGTGTTTCTTGTGCGTTTGATTTTTCTTTTCTTTTTTTAGTTCTTGTTTATTTATTTAATTTGCCGATTTGTTTTCTAGAGAGAGAAAGAAGTGGAGTTATGTCACAAGGAGCAGGGCCCCTTGTTTGTCCCGGCAGCCCGGCTAGCTTACACCCAAAATAACCATACATAAACTGTATTCATTAAAACAGTGCTTGGCCCATTAGCTCTAGTTTCTTATTGGCTAATTCTTACATATTAATTTAACCCATTTCTATTAATCTGTGTATCGCCACGTGACTGAGGCTTACCGACAAGATTCTAACTAGCATCTGTCTCAGGCAGGAGATCCATGGCGGCTCTCTCTCACTCTGCCCTTCTTCCCAGCATTCCGTTCTGTCTTCTCTGCCTACCTAAGTTCTGCCCTGTCAGGCCAAAGCAGTTTCTTTATTCATTAACCAGTGAAAGCAACGCATAAACAGAAGGCCCTCCTACATCAGAGTTAGATGAGTAAGGAAGCGGGGATGATGCGGGAGGAGATGAGGGTGGGAAAACCATGATCAGAATACATTTTATAGAAAAATAAAAATGAAAAAATACTTGCTTTAGTAAGGGGAAGATTGAGGGCACCAAAAGGGACGCATTGAGAGTCAGCTGGAAATTGTGGGCCACACAGTGGAGTCTAGAACATCCCTGGCCTACAGCAGCACCCAGTCCTTCAGGTGCCCTTCTTTCAGTGGTGCTTACCGAGGTGTCTTTGTAAGGCTGACTTAGAGTCGCGACAGGGATGTGTGAGATGGAGTCCCTGCTCTCGAAGGATTGGTAGTTCTAGGTGGTGGGGCAGCCGAGGTGTGCAGACAAGTAGATGCTGTGTATAAATATGATGGTTTGAGAAATGACCTAAGGATAAAGGCAGGCTATTCTTTTTTTTTTTTTAAACTGGGATGTTCCCTGCCTTTGGCTTTTTTTTTTAATTTATTTATTTATTAAAGATTTCTGTCTCTTCCCCGCCACCGCCTCCCATTTCCCTCCCCCTCCCCCAATTGAGTCCCCCCCCCCCTCAGCCCGAAAAGCAATCAGGGTTCCCTGTCCTGTGGGAAGTCCAAGGAACCCCCACCTCCATCCAGGTCTAGTAAGTTGAGCATCCAAACTGCCTAGGCTCCCACAAAGCCAGTGCGTGCAGTAGGATCAGAAACCCCAGTGCCATTGTTCTTGAGTTCTCAGTATTCCTCATTGTCCGCTATGTTCAGCGAGTCCGGTTTTATCCCAGGCTTTTCCAGACCCAGGCCAGCTGGCCTTGGTGAGTTCCCAATAGAACATCCCCATTGTCTCAGTGTGTGGGTGCACCCCTCGCGGTCCTGAGTTCCTTGCTCGTGCTCTCTCTCCTTCAAGGCAGGCTATTCTTTCATCCGACGTTTTTGCTTCCCTCTCTTTTTTACTCCCTTACAGGAGTTGGCTTTTGTCATCTGGGTAGTGATTATCATCTAGCTGGCAGGGTTCTTTTGGGGAGAGGAGAAGACAGGGTTTCTCTGTGTAACAACTCTGGCTGTCCTGGAACTCACTTCATAGACTAGGCTGACTTTGAACTCACAGAGATCTGCCTGCCTCTGCCAAGTGCTGGGATTAAAGGCGCGTGCCACCACCGCTCTGACTTAGCTGGGACTCTTCTTAAGAAGAGTCTTCTCTTAAGACTGAAATTTGCTCTTTATTCCCCTCCCTCTACCCCGGCCATCACTCTTGTTATTCCCCTCCCACCATCTACCCCACCATCCCTCTTGTTATTCCCCTCCCCCCATCTACCCTGACCATCCCTCTTGTTATTCCCCTCCCTCCTCTCTGCCTTATCCATCACTCTTGTTATTCCCCTCCCTCCCCTCTACCCAATCCATCCCTCTTGTTATTCCTCTCCCCCCATCTACCCTGACCATCCCTCTTGTTATTCCCTTCCCCTCCTCTCTACCTTATCCATCACTCTTGCTATTCTTCTCCCTCTTCATCTACCCCCATCATCCTTTTTATTCTTTAGACTCCCTTCCAGAGCCTGGCCTTGGCTACCTATATTACCCGTGTACCCTCACTGGCTTACCCGGCTGGAACATTTATGATGAAAGATGGGATGTCAAGAGGAGGTTCTTCCAGAGGAGTCTCAAGGCCCTGGATCTTGATCACCCTCTCCGCCATCCCTCATTATTCCCTGACTGCACTGCAGTTCCTCCCACACTGGGAGACTGGACAAAGTCCAAGGGCCAGCTGCTGCAGAAGAGACAGAACAATTTCTCCAGGGATGTCCCCTCCACATGCCTGAGCAGGGCCACCGTCCCAGGGTTATCTTAGTCGTCGTCCTCGGCAGAAAAGAACCTCGGGATGTAGCACGTGCATGATACACTAAAGTTCTGAAGCTGGTGGATAAAAGCAGGTTCCTTCTCTTTTATACTCCCCGTTGTGTGGGCTGCTGCTGCTGCCAGAGCTCTAAGGCCTGGGTTGGCCTGGGTGTGCCCTCTGCCCCCACAGTTCCACAGTCACACACTTTTAACTGCGTCCCTTCTCTGAACTAGAGTGGGGTACCAGAACCTCTCGGAGTCACGACAAGGAGTAAGAGATAATCACCACATGTCACACAGGACTTTGCACAAAGCAGGCTCTCACTAAATGATCACTGTCATTACTTTATTCTCAGCAGGAGGCAGTAGCAGAATGTCAGAGATGTGGAAGCTGGAGGGCTGAGACTTTACTAACATGGGCTTCAGTCAGAAGGTAGAGACACTCAGTGCAATGGTGACCTAAAAACAGTGAGAACCCTGACCTTTGATGGGCCGCATGAAAACCAAAGCCCTGCGAATGCTTTTATTTAGACACACATGCGCATAAGTGAAGGTTGATCTTAATCTTAAAACATGCAAGCTCTCAGAGTTACAGAATTTGGAGCTTTCAGTTGAATCATTTGAGATCGCTTAGGGGGCTTTACAGAAGTGTGGCAGCTCACTGACTCTTGTTCAGAAATATGTTTCAGCATGCGTGCATGCATGTTTGTGCATGTTCCTCTGATGGCACCCAGGGTCCTGAGTGTGCTAGGCAAACACGCTACTGCTGAGCTGTCTGTGAAATATTCGACTCATTGGTGTAAGTGGTGAAGGAAGGAAGTGTTCACAGCTCCACCACAAGGCTCTGCGGCAAGGGATGCTTTAATGTCAGCTCAGTCCCCCAGCGGCCCAGGACAGACCCACACCAAAGCCCAGGCCCCAGAGAGCCAGGCCCCTGCAGTGTCAGAAACTCCAGATTTGAAAGGATTAATCTGTCCACTGTGGAAATGCTTAATTCTTTTTCTCAAGACATTTTTGGAAGGCTTTCTGCTTTTTTAATCTCCTGACTTCTTGTTTGTGACCAAGTTCAAATTCCAGGGAGAAACAGCCAATATGTGTGATTATTTCCTCTTGTACTAAAAGTGGAACTAAAAGAATGAACTTACTTCACAAGAAATAAATGCACCCTTTGGGCTTAAGCTAAACTGAGTGTGCACAGTCGCTGTTGTGCGGTAATTAAACACTAACATGAAAAAGATGTCAGCAAGTGCATTCATGATCTTTTTTTAACATAAAGCCAAAAAAAAAAAAAAAAAGAAAAGAATCTTTAAAAAGACTCTCCTCCTCTGCTGTCCCTTGTGTGGGCTGCTGCTGCCGCCAGAGATCTAAGGCCTGGGTTGACCTGGGTGTGCACTCTGTCCCCACAGTTCCACAGTCACACAGTTCCACAGTTTAAGCTGCGTCCCTTCTCTGAACTAGAGTGGGGTACCAGAACCTCTCGGAGTCACGACAAGGAGCAAGAGATAAGTCACCACATGTCACACAGGGTTTTGCACAAAGCAGGCTCTCACTAAATGATCACTGTCATTACTTTATTCTTAGCAGGAGGAAGTAGAAGATTCTTAGGGACATGAGAGTTGGAGGGCTGAATGGATGGTGCAGAAGATACCATCTTGCTTCCCAGAGTAGCTGGGTGGGGTCTGGGGAGCTGTGTGGACCATTGCATCACCGTTGCTGTGCTCTTTAGGTGACCTCTTCAGTGCCGCGGACTTTCCGTTCCTGTCTTTCTACAGATTCCATGGCAGCTGCTGTGCCAGGTAATCTTGCGCCACGTCGCGTGTTTTCTGTGCTGTTAGCTGTGTCTTCATCTCTGTGCAGGCCAGCATGATACGGTGAGCCAACTGAGGTGCGGAAGGAGGCATTCTGGGAAGCAGCTCTGTCTCCAGCAGGCATTCCGAACACTCACACATGTTCAGTGCCAGCCTGAGTCCTGCAGACCTTGGCCTGTGCAGGCCTGTGCCTCAGCCAGGACTGTGGTTTTCAAGCTTGCCGAAGAGCTGGGCTTCCCACCCTTCCCCTCCACAACTACCACACAGAACTTCAGGGCGCAAAACTAACGAAATTGGTTCAGTTCAAGGGATGTTTGTGTCCTCACCATTTTGATCTTGCTTTTTTCTTGCTGCCAGAGCCAATCTGCAGAAACCTTCAGTGGAACTCCAAGACTCAGAAGTACATGGTAGAAACCGGCAATTAGTCTAAGTCTAGACACTAAACTGGCTTTGGGAAGGACTCAAGGATGGAGACCAAGTTCTTCATTGTCATCCTGCCCCGCCATTTCTAGACAAAATCTTGAGTGGTGAGGGCTGGGGAGGCTTTAGGCACAGTCTCAAGCTTGCATTTTGCCAGGAGGGAAAGAGGAGACCTGGGCCAACCCCGGGGTTGGTGGTTGCTAGGTTGCCAGTTGTGTGGCCTCTGGGCAGATTATCTGATCCTCCCAAGTTTTTGTTTTTTCATCTGTGACAAAGAACAGTAATACCAATATTGTGTGACTCGAATATGTATAAGTTCCTAAGCATCATACCTGGCCCAGATAATAGGGGCCATTATCAGTATCTGCTCAGGTCAGCTGCAAGAAAAATCTCCAAACTGTTGATGTTGAATCCTGGCCCTGCCGAGGATCTTATGCAGGATTTTAACTTGTCTTCACTCTTCCGGGGAGAAAGATTTTTTTTTTTTTACAGGCTTTTATACTAATCAATAGAGGTGTATGCTTTGGACAGTGCCTGTGCATGGCACGTGTTCAGTTCGTGCTGTCATTAGTCAAGAAAAAACGAACAAAACCAAAATTCTCAACCATGAATAAAAACCGTGCTGTCTATCCCCGCACAGAAAGGTGAGAAGCTGAGATGTAGAGACTGGAGAGCTGGCTCAGCGATTAGGAGCATTTGCTGCAGAGGACCAGGGTTCAATTCCCAGTGCCATGGTGTCTTAGAACCATCTGTAACTCTAGTCCCAAAGTGCACATGCCTACATGGAGGCAAAACACTCATACACAGAGAATAATAGAACAGATAAATCATTTTTCTTTTAAGTTGAGGTGTAGCTACGTACTGCTTCTGGAATGAGTATGCCATGTTCCTCAGGTGTTTTAAGGCAATGGGGCCATATTATAGACTCTCCTAATTTGAACCTTGTGAAGATTTTCTTTCTCACCCTGGAAAGCTTCAGGGAAATCCAACAGTGCTCCTGTTAGCTCCCCAGCTCTCGTCAGCTTGACTAGCCATTCGCCTGCCCATGAGCAGAGCTTTCACAATGGAGCTCTTGCTGCCCGGGGAATCTGGAATTGGTGTCCTTGAGTGTGACTGGGCAGGTGGGTTCTGGGGCACGGTCAACACTGGTTTAGTTACTGGAACAGAAGCGTTTTCACAGCTCCCTGGCATTGGCTCTGTGGGGACACGCTCTGGCTGTTTCTGGTCCTGTACCATTGACAGCTTTCCCCCAACTCAATGCATTAGATCAGGTCCTTTTATTTTAAGAGCTGTTGATCTTTGCTTGAATTGTCTTAACTGTCTTTTTACCCATCTGCCGTCAGAGCAAGGCTGACGTTTTTAAAAGTGTACCCTGTCTCGAAAAACCAAAAAAAAAAAAAAGTGTGTACTGTTTTCCCACATCATTTCAATAGTTCCTCCATGGCTATTTCTCAGGACAGGAGTGTTACCTTCAGGAAATCCTGGGAAAGCTCAGAGGGGGATGATGCTTACCTCAGGGGAAGGAGATAGCCATGACTAGAGACCCCTGAAACAGATCTTTCTCTCTCCTGGGGTTCTTCACTTTAGAGATCCCTTCTCTGTTTTTCAGAGGGATATTCCCCATATCAAAGGGGGTAGAAGAGCTGAACAGAGGATAGAGATAAAGTAGCCACAGTTCAGAAATTGTTTACAAACCAGCAAACCAAGCAATGGGAGGGAAGCACTGGGCGTTTCTCTACACAGCAGAGACAAGCTCATCCTAGTCAGGTCTGTGCGGAGGGAACAGGCTATGCTCATGCCCTTCAGCTGGTGTTGGACGGGGAGGGCAAAACTCAAGGATACGAGGAGGTTTGGGAGATTGGACACAGCTGGGATTTGGTCCCTGGCTGCTGGGGTGGAAGCTGCCAAGAGGATAACTCGGAACACTAGCTGTCTTTCTGGGGTCCTCAGCGACGTGCACCCTAGAACACCCCGCTCCAACTCTTTGATGACTGCTTTAGACTTTGGTGCTGTGACAGGTGTCTAAGAGAAATATTCAAACATCAAAATATCTTTTTTGGCTCTTGGCTCACATGTCTGCCCCAGGTTGTCTGGTTCCCTCACTTTGAGCCTGAGGGAGACTGATCCTGTTATGTCCTCCTGTGAGGTGATGTAGGAATCATAGAACTAGCAATAGAGAGTTTTCTAAAAGATTTGCTTAAGAGACATTAAATCACACAATGTAGAATTTAGCTAAGGGAATACTGCCCCTGAAGCTCCCCAGGCCCATTAGAGGTAGGCAGGCCTCACCATGCTAGGATGACATGTTTGTTCAACACGGCTGGCCGCCATCACGCCTCCACCAGCAGCTCAAGGGGGTAGTGCAGGGAGCGTTACAGCTACCATTAAGTCCCCGTGCCTGTTAGTAAGGTCCTAGTGCCCTACTGACAGGAAAAGTGTAGTTCTGCCTGGTGGACAAGATGACCCCATATAACAACTACTCACGGGGAAAAAAAAAACCCAGCTGGCGTACCTAACGATTATGGCTTTCTTTGCTGTGTAAATGTCCCATCTGCCCATTTGCCAGGCTTGCAGTGTCTTGTGTGTTTAAATTGTTCAAAGAGTAACCTGGGGCTGGGACCTACAAGAGATTTAAGGATGACAGCATATGTAAAATGCGTAAGCCTGGAGTGCGTATAGGTTAGTAAGACCTTCTGTTTGAGACTGGCTGTTCCTTGAGCAGTAACTGCAGCTGACGCATGTGTGCGTGTGTGCGAGTGTGTGTGTGTGTGTGTGTGTGTGTGTGTGTGTGTGTGAAGATTTTCCTCTCTTAAACTCTAAGTGAGCAGTTTCTCTCTGGGAAGGTATATTAATTCTTTAACGCTGGCGGGATACAGTAGAAGAGGTGTTTGCTCCCTGAAGCAGAAAGGAGATCAGAAAGGAAGGGCTGGGAGCAATGGGCTCCAGGGGTGCACTTCTGACCAGGTCCCACCTCCTCATGTTTCCATTATCTCTCAATTATGCCTTCAAATGATGACTCCATAAAAGGACTAATCCAAAATCGGAGAGCTCATGATGCATCCACGTCCCCACAGCCCCTCCCCTAGCAGTATTTACATCTGTGATGGAATCTTAATACTGAAACCATGACAATGCCCATATACATATCTTCTGTCATGACAGCCAGGTTTCTGAGCCTCTCTCAACTGCCAGTGAAATACTCTCATCTCTGTTTAGACAAATAGAGGTTCCGGTCTCTAAACTTGTTTTCATCCGGGGTACTAGAAAACACAGCTGTGATGGAGGTTGTGACATGCTCAGAAAGTAGACATTGATGGGGCGCAAGCTGTAGTCACAGCCCCTGGGGAGGGAGGGGAGGGAGGGGAGGGAGGGTCTGGCTCGAGGATGGAGGTAGATGAGCCGGAGTGACTGGCTGTAGCTGAAGGAAGGCTGCCTCACTAACAGGGTGTTTTCTCCTTTCAGCGGAGTTTTAGGATTCTTTCTCATGCTCAGCACAGTAAAGCTGAAAAGCATTCTGGCCCCAGGGCAGTGCGCAGCCTGGATTTTCTTTGCTAAGGTAAGAGAGAGGGGCTGGGAAAGTCTACCTCAGAAGCCTGTGTGGCCAGCCTTCTCAGCGTGGGTTGTGTCAAGGGGGACCTTTAGGAAACCGTTTTAGTGACTTATACCTGGTGATAATTTCTGAGACCTCTCCCCTCACCGCATTCCTAAAAGGTGGTAGAGGGAAGCCGACAGATGGCCAGAAGGAGAGACTTCAGGAGCCTTCAAGACTAGGATTGTTACAAGAGGAGCTTTTGTGTATCACAGTGACCAGGGCTGACTGACTAAGGGAGAGGCGGGTGGGCTGTGAAGGCTCCGGAGAAGAAGGCGACTGTGTGAAGCCCCATGGCAACAGAAACGCTCTCTTTCCCCTCCTGTCTGAAGAATGTATGTAGTAATAGGGGCGGCAGGGCTGCGTCCCCAGCACCCCGCTGCCTGCTCGGCTAGCTTATGCCCGAAATAATTACACGGACACTGTATTCTTTTAAACACTGCTTGGCCCTTTAGCTCTAGCACTTACAGGCTAATTCTCACATCCCCATCAACCCATCTCTAATAATCTGTGAGAACCGGTCTTACCGGGAAGATTCTAGCCTATGTCCATCCTGGGTCGGAGCTTCTTAGCGTGCGTCTGCCCAGGAGCCAGGAGCATGGCGTCTCTCTCAGGCGTCTGCTCCCGAGAGGAAAGCGGTCGAGTCTCTGAGCCCACTTCCTCTTCCTCCCAGCATTTTGTTCTGTTTACTCCTCCCACCTATCCTCTAACCAATAAAATGGGCCAGGGCAGTGCCTTTATTAGCCAATGACCTTCCTCCATCAAACGTAGACAGTTCTTAGGGGCTTAGGACCTCCATCGAACTAAGATAAGTTAGTTATTGGAGCCCCTGTCTTCAGCCATCTGTATTTTTTCTGTTGCTTTTGTTTTCTCTGGAAATGAGATTGTGCAGTGGAGATGTCACCTACACACATGGCCTGCCTTTAACAGTATTTGTTGTTCTTAGTAGAATGGGGAGGCTGCCTGAGATCTTAAGCATGAGAGAGGGAGGAAGTTGACAGAGTCTCGAAAACAAGCTGAAAGCTGGGATAACATTGTCCAAAGTCTCCATTTTCATGCTCCAAAAGCTGACTAAAAGCACATAAGAAAGCAGAAGTGTTTGTTCTTGGTAGGGATGGAGTGAATTCACAGTGTCCTTGCCTGCCGCTGCCCCGCTCCGCCAGTGTGATGGGGAGCCATGAAAATTAGCTTCCCTCCTTCTAGAGGTCGCACCCTCTGTTTGGGGCATTGTTCATTTGGGTGGCCATTTTGGTCAGAAGTGAACAGGAGAAGCTAGTAGTTCCACTGTCTTGAGTTTATAGGCCTCACTGGAGTGCTGTGGACAGAGGTCTTGCTGCTGACCTCTGTAGAAGCCTTGTGAGCTCTGGAGCCCACCATACGTCTCACACCGGATGCTTCTATGTCTAGGAACACACCAGAGGTAGAGCAGACTCAGACATACCCATACATCCCTGGCTAAAAGAGTCAGAGGAAGGTACAAGCCAAGGCAGACAGGAAAACTGCCTGAGGTTCAAACGTCCTCTCCTGCTGCGTAGAAGCAGAGACAAGATCTTCTGGCTCATGATATTTGAACAAAAGTCTCTTTCTGGTCCTGGCCAGGACACCAGTTACACTAGCGTGAAGAATAAGAACAACATTAGTGAGAACATCAGGGCTGCACCTTTTGGCGAGGCAGATTTCACACTTGTTTTAGGAAGATCACTGAACAAGCAGAACAAGCAACTGCAGTAATAAGATGTGGGAAAAGTCAGAGCTTAGAGTTGCTACCACATATTACCTAGAAAGCACAGCATTCACCCAAAAAATTAAAGACATTTAGAGAAGCAAATTATGGCCTATGGGAAAAGTCAGTGGGAACTGGCTTATCTGCTTCAGATGTAGAGTTAGCTCGGAACATTGCAAAGTGGCTCCTTCAGGACACTCAGGGTGGGACTACAGCCGTGTGAAATCAGAGGGAAGAGCCATGAATTCGGAGTGTTAGTCACAGGGAATTAGGAAATAACCCGTTGAACATAAACTGCAATGAGATTTCTGTAGAGGGACTCAGCAGATTGGGACGATAGAAAAAGCGAACTGTGAAAGAGAGAAGAAAACATTTAATACAAAGAAAAAAATTAATTGGAAAGTGTAAGCAGCACTCCAGAGACCTGTGAGACATCACACATATCAGCTTATATATAAAAACCGTCTTGGGAAAGGAAGAATCAGAGACAGAAAAGTATTTAGGTGAATAATGGATGAAACTTCCAGATCTTATGAAAGACATAAAAATTCAGTAAGTCCTGAAAACAAACAAAAACAGCATGTTACCTAAACAAATTATAATCAGACTGTTAAAAGACAAATAGAATATGTTAAACACATCGAGGAAAAAGGATTCAGCACACATGGAAGAAATCAGTGCAATTAGTGAAAAATAGCAAACAAGCCTCCAAACAAAAACCTGGAGGCCAGAGGCAGCAAGAGGAGGCCACATTCAACCTGCTAAAGGAAAAAAAAGACATATGCAACCAGGGACTTAATACATAGAAAAACTGTCCATCAGATATGACAGAAATAAAGACATTCCCAAATAAATAAAGACTGAGAGATGTGATGCTAGTGGCAATATCAATAGTTACATTAAATGTTAATAGACTAAATATCCCTTTTAAAGGGATGGAAAGATGGCTCAGAGGTTGGGAACTCTGACTACTCTTGCGAGGACACAGATTTGATTACCAGCATCCACATGGTGGCTCGCAACCACCTGTAAGTGCAGTTCCAGGGGATCTGACACCCTCTTCTGGCCTTTGTGGACACCATGAATGAATGTGGTGCTTAAACATACTTGCAGGCAAAACACTCAAACACAAAGAATAAAAATAAATGAATCTTTAAAAAGGGCAGAGGGTGTCAGATTGTATTTTTAAAAGGCAAGATCCAGCTGCATAGTCTCCAGAAGAGACACACGTTGCATCAAGGCTACTAGGAGCTGACTTTGAGAATGACGCAGAGCCAGAATCCTCATAGACATTTATGCAGGCTCTTTCAAAAACATCTCAGTACTTTCTATCAGGCAGACTGACAACCATGCAGGACCTATATGCCCAAAAAATGCTCACGAGGAATGAAAATGCACACTCATCAAAAACCCTATACTTTGGTGTTTATGGTCACATTAATAATAAAACCAAAACACGTAAAGAATGTAGATGTGAGTTTCTTAGTGGATGGATAAACAAGATATCGATGCATGTGGTAGAATGCTGTTAAACAGTAGCAAGAAATGAGCTATTAATATATGCTATAATACAGATGACTCTTAGAAGCATTCTGCTAAGTGGAAAAACATAGTCACAAAGTAATACGTATATTATTCCTTTTGTGTAAAATGTCAGAAAAACGCAAATTTATACAGACAGAATATATTGGAGGTTTTTCATGGAACAGAAATTTATTGCATATAGGTTTAAAGAAGTTGTGGTTTGTGGGATGGAAATGACTTAGAGCCACATTGTAGTAGTGATGGTTGCATAATCACATAGGAACTTAACTAAATTTGCTTACTAAAAATCATCACATTGGGACTGGAGAGCTGGCTCAGTGGTTAAGAGAACTGGCTGCTCTTCCAGAGGACCTGGGTTCGATTCCCAGCACCCACATGGCAGCTTATAACCATCTGTAACTCCAATTCTAGGGAATCTGACACTTCCACACAGACATGTGTACAGGCTAAACATCGATGTGCATAAAATAAACAAATCTTTAAAAAACTATTTAAAAGTCATCACATTTAAAAAAAAAGCCACAGCTTTCATTCCGATGCTGGGTTTTGTGGCTCGCAAACCTTCCTTACGGGCTGTAGAACATGGCATTCATTCTGGCTTTTACGATGTGATGGAGTTTATCTGTGTATGGTTTCGCCTATTTGACCACTGGTCTCTGAGAATTTCCTTTGCTTTTTTTTTTCACAACTTGAAAGGAAGTTTATAACTTTCCCCCCAATTCTTGTGGTTTGATGCCAATCCTTAAGTGTAGAGGATTAGATTAGGTGAACCATTAAGGTTCTTGGCAGCTTCAGATAAGCTCTCTCTTTCTCTCCCTCTTCAGTACATCTGTTACCCACCCCCAACACACAACTTTTCTATCACATGTGAGTTCTGTGTTCTTAGCGGCCAAGTATACCCATCTCCTGGACCAGCTGCATGTCTAAATGCACTGGCATTTGTAACATACCACAACTGTACTTGGTGAGACAGCATTGCCTGGTTATGTCATCGTGACCTCCAGTGTTTTCAGAAGGATGGCCCTGTGGTGCTAGAGGAGAATTTGGGTTCCTAAAAAAACTTGTAGACCCAGGCTGAGAGGCCTTGTTCCTGGCTCTAAAATAGTATTCTTTCTCAATCATTGTTCAAGGGGTTGTCATATCAGCAATCACTTGCATGCTTGCTTTCTTCCTTTCTTCTCTCTCTCTCTCTCTCTCTCTCTCTCTCTCTCTCTGTCTCTCTCTGTTTTCTTCTTGAGACAGGGTCTCATTGTATAACCCTAAATGGTGGTCTGGAACTCCTTGTGTAAACAGGCTGGCCTCACACTCACAGAACATCCTGCCTCTGCTCTTGAGTGTTAGGATTAAGGGTATCAGCACCATGCCTGGCTTCAGTAATGTTTCTATCATGATTATCATTTTCCTCTCTTGGAATCTGAGAAATACTTTAAGATCCAGAAAGCATTATAGTGCTTAGCAACCTTTGGAAAGAGAAAAGTCTCTTCTCTGAGTAAACTGAGCATGTGAAATCTAATGCACGGGCAAAATCTGAGCTCTTTTCTCACTGGGAGTACAAAGGACTGAACCAGAAAACGTGAATGGATTCAAGAGAACAGTGTGACAGTGACGTGTGGGTGTGTAAGGAGGGCACAGCCTGAGTTGCCACTCTTAGTGGGTCTTTCCAGCAGATTTAAACCTGTGTGAGAATTCTTCCCTGTTT